AGCCAGCCTCAGAAGGCTATAGTTTCGCCCTTCATTTGCCATTCCTGGATCCAAACTTGGATGGGTCAGTAGTTAAGAGTAGGAGGGAGGAGAAGCTAGAAAAGAGTGAGAAAGACAACCTCCACCAGCACCTACTTCCCACAGCTCTCAGCCCTGGGTGGGGGAAAGCTTTACCTCCGAGACAAGCTTGGCAGTTTGGGTTTTCAAACCGTACTGGGCTGGAAGTATTTCCTTAAGAGACCGAACAGGACTCTTCAAGCCAAAACAAAGAGGCTCTCTGTCCACTATCGGAGAATGAGTGGCAAAGCTCTAAGACTTGCCTGAAATTTCATCCAGGGGTGGAAAAAATAGCTTACAGGTGAGGTAGAAAGGGACAGTAAGAGAAAGAAGTAGGTTTATCAATAAGCCGGTTACACAAGCACCAACTCAGCAGGTCCGAAAGCTTGTCCCTGAGCAGTGAGACAGGTGGACAGAGACTCCAGAGACCTACAGAGGGGCCAGGGAGGAGGTGTGGTCCGCAAGGCAGTCTTGGCCTGAGGACAGGTAGACCCTGAAGGGAACGGGCCACCAGAGTCCACAGCCAGCAGGCTGAGGGTGGTTGGGAAGCTTCCCTGAATAACTGGGGACAAACTGGTAGCTTTCGTCCCTGTTGGCATGGTTGTCAGGAGCAGGGTGTGGAGGCTGCTCAAAGGCAGATGAGGGTTCCTGGGGTGGTCTGTCAGGTGAAGATAGAAGGGTGGCGTTGCTCTCCTGGGGAGCCTGGATGCTAAGCCTGAAGCTGTGGGCAGTGAGATTAACCCCCTAATTTCCTCTAAAAGAAAACTCTTCACTGTCCAACTGCCAGGTTAAGAGTTTATGGCTGGGCACAGTGGCGCACGCCTGCAATCCCAGCACTTTGGGAGGCCGAGGCAGGTGGAGCACAAGGTCAAGCGATCGAGACCATCCTGGCCAACACAGTGAAATCCCATCTCTACTAAAAATACAAAAAATTAGCTAGGCATGGTGGCATGAACCTGTAGTCCCAGCTACTCCGGAGGCTGAGGCAGGAGAATTGCTTGAACCCATGGGCAAATGTTGCAGTGAGCCGAGATCGAGATGGCACCACTACATTCTAGCCTAGTAACAGAGTGAGACTCCATCTCAAAAAGAAAAAAAAGAGTTTACATGGGCACCCTGATTTGGAGTGGGGAGCTTCCCCTGAGATCTACAGGGCCATTGTCGTGATGCTGTCTAGAGCAGAGGAGAGGTCTTGTGTAGGGGTCTGAGAAGAGCTGAATGATAGCAACAGGGTTAACCAGGTCCCAAGAGGAAGGACATTCAGATACCTCTTGTGCATTTCAGCTAGAATCCACCTTTCTGAGGTTCCCACCATGTGGGCTGTACTCCAAGGGGCATTTGAAGAGCCACCAGGTGGAAGACACGTGTTTGCCTGGTACCCTTGTGCTGTCTGTGGCAGAGAGGGGTCTGTGGGCACTGCATCATCCGACCCAGACTTGAAGACGGCATTTGTTCTTTCTTGGTGGAGTCCTCTGTGGGAATGACACTGTGAGCTCCAGACCTATCTGTCCTGTGAATCCTATGCCTGCGTCTTGTTTTGAAAGGTCGGCACATCTAGGGGATTTCAGAACCAAACTTTAGGCTAACCAAGCTTCCAGCCTGGCTGCCCTGTGCAAAGGCATTCCTGGTGCCAGGCCTTTGCGGAGACTCAGTGGTCATGTCACATTGCTTTTTCAAAGGCCACTGGGGAGGCTTCCTTTTGATGGAAAACCATGCTGGAATGATGACAGTCTAGGAATAGAAGGGGTATTGGGGGAAATCAGCCCGACCTCCTGTCCAAGGCCTGGATTGTCTCCATACCACATTTTCCACACCCCATCCTCAAACATCCCTCCAACCCCCAAACAATCCCCTGTACCTACAAACAGCCCCCATCCCCACCCCCACTCACTGCCTAAACACCTCCAGGCAGCCCATGCTGTCTCCAGACTGTGAAGATCACACCTCATTTTGAGCTAAACTTGACTTGTTGGCCCTGGCTCTGTTCTCTGTGGCTGCACAGAACCAACACATTGCCTCCCTCAATCACGTTCCACTCAAGCCTTCTCTCTCCAGAGTCACTCTGTCCAGTACCTTTGGCCCCACTGGGCAGTCCTGTCACCATTTTCTCCTAGGTCTGAAATTGCAAGATGGGATTTCTCCAGTCCTCGGTTAGGGTTCTTCTGGTTCAAAGCAATTAGAAGGCTCAGTCTAACCAGTAGGGTACTTACTTTTTTTTGAGATGGAGTCTCACTCTGTCACCTAGGCTGGAGTGCAGTGGCACAGTCTCGGCTCACTGCAACCTCTGCTTCCTGGGTTTAAGCAATTCTCTGCCTCAGCCCCCTGAGTAGCTGGGATTACAGGCACATGCTACCATGCCTGGCTAATTTTTTGTATTTTTAGTAGAGACGGGGTTTTACCATCTTGACCAGGCTGGTCTTGAACTCCTGACCTCGTGATCCACCTACCTCGGCTTCCCAAAGTGGTGGGACTACAGGCATGAGCCACCACGCCTGGCCTCAGAGGAGAATTTTCTACCCTTGACATGTGCTGACCATCCTGGGCTCTCTACCCTTGCCCATGCCTGGGATGTTTGCTTCAGTAGCAGCTGTGTGTGCCATGGGCAAGCCCTTGGCTGGAGAGTGGGCATTTCTCTACCCTTTATTCTTGGCAGCTATTCCAGTCCTCTTATAAGAGTCATCATTGTGCCATGCACCACTCAGGAAAGTCATTGCCAATTAAGTCATTTATGACCAATTATGTTTAATTTTCACATCGAGTGTAGCTCATCCCTATTGTGAAAAAAAAAACAAAACCCGTGTTTCATAGACTAGGATGAAATGTGGCACACAAACCGCCTCATGACACGAGGGTTCATGTGACAAAGCATGGCAGCACTTAGCACAGTGTTCAGCACAGTGGACATTCAGGAAATGCCATCTGCTCTGATGAAAGCGCCCCAGCAGCTCAGCAGTGCCCATGGGCAGACCCCGGCCCACCTCTCCAGCCCTGTGTCCACCACTTCCTTACGTGTCTGTACTGTCTGCAACCGATGGCTTATGGTGGCATCCTCTTATCTCTTCCGCAGTGCCCCGACCCCATCGGCCCCCTCTTGTTAATATCCTCAGCTGTCACTGCCCTTGAAAGGTCTCCCCTGCCCACCCCTCCTGTGTCCCTCCCATCTCCTACAAGGTTCCATACAACACAAGTCACTATGTTGCTTGTGAACTTACCTGTCTCCTCCCCTAGAACGTGGCTCTGGGAATAGGGGCTGAATTCTTTATCTTCAGTGCTGGAACACAATAGAGGTCCAAGAAAATTATTGCCAAATAAGTGTATAAAGAGCCAGCTCGGCCATAGAGACCCCCACCCAGGTGGTGCTGAAGGAATTGAGAGGCAGACACCCAGATAGAACAGCAAAGTGAGTCTATCGGGGGGGGGGCCAACACCCTTCCAAACTGACAGGCTGAAGGCCCCCAGCAGATTCTGATCCACGTGTTTATTCTCTCTAACAGGTGATTATTATTAATAAACAGGTGTTCTGTGTTTTCTCATGACACAAAAATATACCAAGTAGGCAGCTGTTGCCTGCTCAGCACTGATCACAGACAAACTAAAAAGCATTTGCCACAGGGGCAGGGTCAGATGTCTTAAAGAATTGTTTTGACCGGTGTATATTGATACGTTGTCCTGCCACTTTGGAATGCCCCAAGTAGTTTTCTACTTGGGGGGCGCCAGCTAGGTTTTCCTTGCCGTCGTTCTTCCTAGCAAACGATATATTCTATCAAACACTCAGCAGTCACCAATATTCATAAACTTAGCATTTCTCAACATCTATATTTATAAACTTAACATGTTGCAACACTCGTGTTGAGTGGTACCTGAATTGGTGTGGCGTTTTATACTCTAACAGGCTTCTCACAAATCCGTTTCCTTACTCCATTAATCTGACAGGTCAGGACAGGTGGTGATGTTCTTGTTTTACAGCCAGAAAAAATGGACACCTGTTAAGGGACACCCCTGAGTGCACAGATCCTGCTCGTGACTGAGCTGGGATCTGAGGCTGGCTCTGGCCTATTACCAATTTGGAGTTGATGGGTCCTTGGCTTAGAACAGAGGCAGCGAACTGGCAGCTTGCTGGTCCTATGTGGCCTGTGGACGTGCTTTGGCCCACATAGTTTTTTTTTTTTTTTTTTTAATGTGTGTAAGTTGCCAACATTTAAAAGAATTAAGAGGTTTCCCAATTACTAGCTTAAAAATGTAAGCACCTGGCACCGTGGGCTTCCATCCCCACATGGGTAATTCCTGACATACGCTGTACTCCCAGGCCCCCCACCTACCCCACTTCAGTTTGCAACCGCTGCTTGGAGAAAGAATCCTGTCGTGAGGCCTTGGGGCCAGCTCTCGGTCCTACTCATCGTGTCTGTGGCACTTAGCTTGGTGCTTGATAGGCCATCAGTGCTCAGGATTAAAAACAACCACATGTGGCCGGGCACAGTGGCTCACGCCTGTAATCCCAGCACTTTGGGAAGCTGAGGCTGGCGGATCACTTGAGGTCAGGAGTTTGAGACCAGCCTGACCAACATGGTGAACCCTGTCACTACTAAAAATACAAAAATTAGCCAGACGTGGTGGTGCACGCCTGTAATCCCAGCTACTTAGGAGGCTGAGACAGGAGAATCACTTGAACCTGGAAGGCAGAGGAGGTTGCAGTGAGCTGAGATCCTGCCACTGCACTCCAGCCTGGGTGACAGAGTGAGACTCTGTCTCAGAAAAAAAAAAAAAAAGAACTGCATGCTGGTGGGACAGGGCCTGGTCAGGCCTCCAGAGAATCACATCTGCAGTTGCCAATGTGCCTGAGGCTTTGGCCGGGACTTGAGGCCAGCTCCTGTCTTGGCAGGGGTCCTCAGGGTCTGCCTCGGTGGGAAGGAAGGAGGTAGAAGCAGCTCCTCTCTCCTCCCCAGGACAAAGGCCATGATGGGGTGAAGGAGCTGGACAGCCTAAACAGTGACCGACTGAGAACCGTCCAGCTCAACGTCTGCAGCAGTGAAGAGGTGGAGAAAGTGGTGGAGGTCGTCCGCTCCAGCCTGAAGGACCCTGAGAAAGGTAGGGAGCCCCTTCGGGCAGGAGGGGCTGTGTATGGGGCCATTCCAAGGAGCCCTTGCCACACACCACCCTCCGCTGGCCGGCATCCTGCCACCGCGCTCCTTTTATTATTTAAACTCTTTCTCCTGCACAGTAAGAGGAAGGGGATTCAATTACACACCTGTGCAGAAGGGCAATGAAAAAAATGCAGCCAGGAGGTGATTTCAGAGTTCATGGAGTGCTTTGTGGCTATGTACTGATTCAGGTCAGTTCAGCCAACACCCACTGATGCCCCCTCTGGACCAGGAGCTGGGTTGGGTGCTGGGGACACAAAGATGGTCAAGGCCCAGTCTGTTATCCCCAGGACCTCATAGTTCAGCTGGGGGACTGAGTTCAAAATCAGGGAGCCGTGCAGAGCAGCACAGGAAAGAGGCGTTGATCCAGCCAGGGGTGCAGCGGAAACAGGCCAGTTAGGGCAGATTGTGGGGAGAGCAGGAACCACAGCTGGGAGCAGGACAGGGTAGGGTAGTGGGGCTGTTCGTCAAACGGTGGTATTAGCCTGGCACCTCAGTATGAGTCACACAGGTCAGGTCACATGGAGGGGATGGCAGCCAAGGAGGCTGGGGAGGGAGGTCTTGGATCCTAGGCGAGGGAGCATGTACCCTCTCCCGACAGCACTGGGGAGCCACTGAGGGAGTCATCCTGAGGGAATAGCCTGGCCATTGAGAGACTTGTGAGGCTTCCTCCAAGGATGGCAGTGGCAACGTGGATTCAAAGGGGGAGTTAAGCGTGGGTTTGAGAGTCCGGAACTAACGTGGTAGGTGTTGGGAAACAGGAATGGTCAGGTGCCAGGAGTTCTGAGAAGGCGAAGCTGGCCGGACTTGGTGACTTGGATGGGGGATGAGGTGAGGCGTGAAGTCTCTGTCCTGGACACCTGGTGGCCTGCACTGCAGGAGCAGGTTGGGAGATAGGGAGATACCGAAGCACCGCACCCCCCCCAAGGGACTGTCCTGGCTGGAAAAGCAGGTGCCCATGGCAGGAGGTGACACAGGGAATCAGGGAGATGCACAGAGGGACCCCTGGGAATATGACTGTTTGGGGGTCAGAGGAGGGGAGAGACAGCTGTCAGAGAGGTTGGATACAGTGTCCTGGAAGCTAAAGAACCAAAGGTTTGGGAGAGTGGGGGCAGTACCACTAGCCAACAGGGTCAAAAGCTACAGAAAGTTCCAGTAGCATAAGGACTAAAATATTCTTCCAGTTCAGCCATCGGAGGACCTTGGTGAGAGGAGCTCTGTCTCCAAGAAGTGGTGCCATTCATGTAGAATACAGCAGTGGGGGATAGAGCTCCCTGGAGCTGCGCCCCCAGCAGCGTCTGGAGAAGCGAATCTTGAAGTTTATCTTTGAGCTTCCTGACAGCCCAGGCAGAAAGGGTATGTCACATTCAGGCCTCTGCTTTCCCTCAGAATGGGGTGGGGCAGCTCCTAGGAGCAGTGACTTCAGTGGCTGGGAAGGAGGAGGAAATGGGAGGAGTGACCAGATCCTTGCTGGGAGCTCTGCTGAGCATGTATCAAGCAGGTGGACGTGGGGTCTCTCAGAGCAACAGCCTCAGAGGCTGCAGGTGTGGCTGTCGGTGACGCTGCTGCTCTGCCTGTCGCTGATGTGCTGCCTCATCAGCCCACTGCCGTTCCCATCCTCCCAACAGGCCAGTCACAGGCCCTCTGTTCTCTGTTCTCACTGAACATCTGTTTAATAATTAACAGGCAGAGCCAGTGCTCCTGTTCCATTAAGAAAAGGCAGAATGGGTCCCACTGGGGTGATTACCAGCTTGGACCCTGCAGCCTGCTTTGCCCCTCCCTGGCAGTATATTCTCCCTCCCACCTTCCCTGGGCAGCTGGAATATTGCCTTCATCAACTACTGGGCAGGAAAACAGCTCCATCAGCGCCACAAAGCCACTTGATTATAGTGTGGGTTTTGTGGTATCTAAAAAGCCCATGGAAAGGCAGCATCACCAGAGACCTGAGCAGAGAACACACCAGGCCAGGGGTGCTAGTCCTCTGCCCCCTGCTTCTCTGGGGCAGAACCACCTCCATTCTCTGTACTGGACTGGCCAGGAAGCCTAACCTGCCAGGCAGGATGGGCCCCGCCCACGCAGAGGGGAGGCACTCACCCGCTCTGTGCAGGGGATCTGAGCTCAAATCCCAGCACCAGCCTGATGCACAAACCTTCCCCTGCTGCTTTTTCCACATTCTGGAGGGCTGGAGAAACCACTCACCATGAACTTACTTAACCAATACTGCATTTGTTTTTGGAAAAAGATTTGAAGGCTTTTAGGTATGAAAAAACAGTACATCTGTCAGATATGCAGTTTTGTGTCCCCATCTGGCGCGCTCTCTCTCTTGCCCGTCTTCCTCTCCCTTCACCTCCGTCTCCCTGATTCCCCTCTGGACTCTCCCCTTTCCTGGCCTAGCCTCTGAAATTCCCTCTCAGGCAATGCCGACTGTGAACGCCAGGTGGCGCCCTCCCAGAGTGTTCCCACCCGCAGTGGCCGCCACCGGCCCATACCCCACGCAGGACATTTCATCGGGGTTCTCTTCCTCTTCCCCCACCATGGGGGCACATTTGGAGGGCGAGTTTGATGCCCTGCCCCCTGGCTCTGTGGAACAGTTGCTGCCAAAGCCTGGGGAGCCAGCCACCGGGGGCGAGATGATGGAGACTATCTGATGTTAGCTGGAGCCCTCTGCACGGGTCCCCTGCCCCAGGGAGGACATCTGCAGGCTGGGACCAGCCCTCCCTGCCCCCACCCCAGGGGACACTGAGCCCGGGAGCCCAAGAGCAGGCTGTGGGCATGGCCTGATCTTGGCACATCACTTACCAGTCAGTCAATATTTGTTTTATTTATTTATATATATATATTTTGAGATGGAGACTCGCTCTGTCGCCCAGGTTGGAGTGCAGTATGATCCGATCCTGGCTCACTTCAACCTCCACTTCCCCTGATCAAGTGATCCTCCTGCCTCCGCCTTCCGGATACCTGGGATTATGGGCACCTGCCACCATGCCCAGCTAATTTTTTTTTTTTTTTTTTTTAAGTAGAGAAGAGATTTCACCATGTTGTAGGCTGGTCTCAAACTCCTGACCTCAGGTGATCCACCTGCTTCAGCCTCCCAAAGTGCTGGGATTATGGGATTACAGGCGTGAGCCACCACGCCTGACCTGACCTGGGCTTCACTTCTTATTAGAAATGTGACCTTGGCTTGCACCTGGTGGGCTTGCACGCTGTGTGGGCCTCAGCTTGCCCATCTGTGAAGTGAGGAGAGTGCTCTGAGAGCCGTCCAATGCTCACACCTGGATGGGACCACTACAAGAGCATGGGGAGAATTTCAACACAGGTTGCTTTCAGGCTGATGGGCGGGCCGAACACATGCAGGGAAGCAGGGGAGAAGCCTGGGAAAGGCCTTGCCTACCATGCTGTGGGATGGAGACCATAGAGCAGGAAGTGACTGATGGGCAGAGGGTCTACCTGACGGGTGGGGTGAAGACTGAGGTGGAGGAGTGAGTGAGACAAAGAGACCCAGGAGGAGGCTTCTCCAGTAGCCCAGGAAAGAGGCAGCAAGGACCCAAACGAATACCAGAGAAAACGGGAAGGAAGAACCCACCCAGCAGAAGAACCATCAGCAGCCTGGGGTGTGGGGCTGAGTGTGAGGGCTTTGTCCTCAGACTGATCTGGGTCCAAATCCCACCGTCCCCACCCGTAGCTGGGTGACATTGACCAAGGTGCTTCAGCTCTCTGAGCTTCAGTTGCCTCAACCGGATATGAGACAATTTAGGATCTATTTTGCAGGGTGGTTATGAGGATCAGGGAAGTTAATGAATGCAAAGGGCTTGATTAGGGGCCTGCCAGCTGTCATGTTGATCTTGATCTGTAATATTAACAGAACTTGGTGACTCATTAGATGGGGAGGGGTGGAGGAGCTGGAGGAGTCACAGACGAAAGTGAAATCATTAACAAAGAGGAGGAGCAGGCTGGGGCCGCTTGCCAACTTGGTGTGTTGGCTGTGTTTAGGGCGAGTTGGAGACTATCGGACATTCAGGTGGAAGCGAAGCAGGAGGAGAGGGGGATGAGGAGAGAGCCGTGACTCCCGAGGAGAACTGGGGAGCCACTGATGTGGAGGCAATCTTGGGGTTGTTGCAGGACCCCAGTTGCTGTTGCCCCAGCCAGCGGGAGTGCCTCCTTGAGTTTATTGAGAACATCGGCTGAGGACGCCAGATGGCAGCTAGGTCCACAAACTCTCAGCACTCACCAAGTCAGCAAAGCTTCACCCCAGGGCCTGTATGCTTTCACAGGTCATTTTCCATTCAACTGTTTCGGATAGTACTGTAAAATTGTTTTATTTTGAGGTAGCAAAAGGGCTTTATGCATTTTAGGTCATGGGATATTGTCCCTTATGAATCAAACACAAAACAGCTGGAAAATTCACACACGTGAAGATGAGGAGACCTGAGAGTTGAGAGGAGCAGGATTCGACTGGGACGTTGGGGGACCCTTGTATCTGGGGGCAGGTGAAAGAAAGGTGTCAGGGCGGATGCAGGAGACGCCTAGGAATCACTGGGGGTGATGTCCTTGGCATACCACCCTGGATACCCTGGAGAATACAGGTTCAAGACCGCTGGAGGACTGGGACCCAGTGTGGTATGGAAGGGAGGTGGAGAGAGGTGTGAGAGAGAGAGTGAGTGAGTGAGTGTGTGTGTGTGTATCTGAGTGTGTGAGAGTGAGAGTGTGTATGTGAGTATGAGAGAGTGTACATGTATGTGAGAATGTGTGTGTGTGTGTGTGTTTAAGATGGAGTCTCGCTCTTGTTGCCCAGGCTGGAGTGCAGTGGCCTGATCCTGGCTCACTGCAACCTCATCTCCCAGGTTCAGGCTATTCTCCTGCTTCAGCCTCCTGGTAGCTGGGATTACAGGCACCCGCCACCACACCTGGCGGATTTTTGTATTAGTGAATAGAGTGTGTTTTTGGAAGGCTGGGAGGGAAGGAAGGAAAGCGAGTAGCGCAATTACAGAAGGATCTTCGGGATATAGAAATGTGGTATTTGTAGACATTCATTCATCTAACACACATTTGCTGAGCACCTAATATGTACAGCACTGAAGGGCTGGAGTCATGGGCAATGGGAAAGCTAAAGTTGCGTGAAAGAGAGAGAAGGATCAGTGGCTGTGGTCTCGAAGATGACATGGGAAGTGTCAGCCATGACATGTGGGGAGTGGCCTGCTGCTCCTCCTGGGAAGAGAAGAGGGTGAAGACTCAGGGCACATCTGCAGGGAGACCCCGGGAGCTGTGGGGTTGTTGTAGATGATGCTGACCCTGTCATTAGCATCTGAGGGAGGTCACAGGTGAGACCTAGAGCCGGGAGATACCCGCAAGGCTTTGGTGGGGAGTGGGAGGGAGCTGTTCATGGACACTTGGTTAGCCAGCAATTTCCTTTCCCGAATAAATGCCCTTAATTCTCCATAATTGAAGGAGAAGGCACCAGAGGGCAGTGAACAAAGCCTTAATTTGGGTAACACGGAAGGAAAGCAGCTAGAGACCAATTACTCTGTCATTTACACAAACTCATTTCCATAATTAACTTGGAAAATGAAGCAGTGCTGAGTTCCCACAGGCAGGGATGGCCCGGGGAAGGGAGCTGGGCTCTGAGGTGGCACCTCAGGAAGGAGCACGGGGCTTTTGCCACAGGAGTCTGAACCTCTTTCCACAACAAAGAGGCAGGGCCCAGCTCTGTCCTGAGGCTCTGACCCATCCAGCCTTTGCACCCCAAAACTGAACTCCAAGAGGTCTCTGCAAAACACAGCTGCCTCCTCATTGCCCTTTCAGGCCTGTCTCTGACTTACTGGATAAACTTAAGCCTGTCCTTCCCCCTCAGGGCCTCAGTTTCCCTAGCTGTAAGATTAGTTAATAGACTACATAAACTCCAGGAAACATTCCAGCACCAAGATCCTCCGAGTCTGCAAAAGCCAAGCATCCCTTACTCAGCTAGTGTTGCAGGAAACAGTGAACCCAGGTAGACTGTGACGGTGTACATTTCCTCTGATCTGTACTCAGTCCTGTGGAACCTCACATATGACCACCAGCAATCAGTGAATGCCATGGCTTCCAGGAGAGAGGGGAGTAATGGAGTAATTGTTAGGAAGGTCTCCGCGGGGAGCAGGATGGGGCCAGACCCATGATCATGGCTTGGCTGAGCCTCTGACTTGATGTGTGACCTACAAGCTTGGTCCTCTCTCTGGTCCTGCAGAAGGGGCTTGGCCTGGGAGACCCCTGTGATTTCCCTGGTTTCTAGCAAGAGAAGAGAAGATGTGAGTGACAGCTTCAAGGTAGAGATGAGGAAACAGGAACGGCGTGAAACTCGGGCTGTGGGGGTGGGATGGGATGGAGTAGAGTGGAAGTGGGAATATGAGGTGAGTGAGACTCAGGCTGGGGAGTCTCAGTGGCAGGCTGGGACATCCATCCTGCGCCCAGAGATGGAGCCAAGCAGATGCGACATGAGGACTGGACATTCTAGACATCAGGGAGGGCTGCAGTCAGCACTTTAGGCCTCCTTATCGCCTGTCATTTCTGAGTGACTCTAGAAAGTTTCCTGAGAGCATTGGGCAAGAGGCTGGGAAGTCCCAGGGAAAGGGACAGAAGTGGAGAGGCTGCAGTGTCTGCGGCCAAGCCTGTGTGGTAACTGCACATCTATCCCTACCTGTCCAGGGATGTGGGGCCTCGTGAACAACGCCGGCATCTCGACATTCGGGGAGGTGGAGTTCACCAGCATGGAGACCTACAAGGAGGTGGCAGAAGTGAACCTTTGGGGCACAGTGCGCATGACAAAGTCCTTTCTTCCTCTCATCCGAAGGGCCAAAGGTGAGTGGGAAAGGGGGCGCCCTCCTGCCCCCAGGCCTACCCTACGGGTTCATCTTTGCTCAGAATGGAAATACCTGTTGCAGCAGCTCCAACATCCACAACTTAGCAAGGCTGGGCTCGTGAATCCCAGGGGCTCTGCTCGGCCCGGGGTGATGCTGGGCAGTGGGGCTGTGGCCAGGTAGGGGGAAAGAGGTGTGTGGCTTTCAGGAAGTAGAGCAGGTAAGAGGTCAGTGGTCTGTGTAGCAACAGCTTAAAGATTTTAGACGCCATCCACTCTGGGAACCTAATCTAGAGAGGGAATCATCCTTTGCACAAAGCTGTCTGTATACATCATTGCATCGATTGGGTGTGGTCAAGTAAAATGTGGCATATTCATTCTGTGGTTTATTGATACTGTGGTTGAAAACGTGGTAATTGTGGTCTTAAGCAACAATAGTAATAATCAAGATTAGAAATTTGGAAAACCGGCCAGGCGCCGTGGCTCACACCTGTAATCCAGCACTTTGGGAGGCCGAGGTGGGTGGATTATGAGGTCAGGAGATCAAGACCATCCTGGCCAACACGGTGAAACCCTGTCTGTACTAAAATACAAAAAATTTGCTGGGCGTGGTGGTGTGCGCCTGTAGTCCCAGCTGCTCGGGAGGCTGAGGCAGGAGAATCGCTTGAACTGGGAGGCAGAGGCTTCAGTGAGCTGAGACTGAGCCACTGTACTCCAGCCTGGTGACAGAGCAAGACTGTCTCAAAAAAAAAAAAAAAAGGAAAGCCAACAAAACGCCCAAACCATGTGGGTGGGCAAATGTGAGCAAACCACTTTCGAAGTCATTGACTTGGATTTTTTCCCTAGTATGACAAGCAATTGTGGCTAAAGGGGTAAGATCCATACACTGTTGTGAAGTTCTAGCAGCAATAGGCATGAACACGGAGTGCAGCTGTAGGATTTTAGAAGAAAACCCTAACCCTTCAGTGACTTAGAGGTTTCTGAAAGGTGCCTTCCCCCAGTGCCCAGGATGGGCTGTGAGTTCCTTCCTGGAGACACACCTAGGGAAAACTGGTTCCAGATCTGCCTGGGCTTCCCAGGCCGGGCCAAATGCAATCCGCTTCCAACCCCCAGTTCCCAGGCCCAGGAGGAGCAGTGGGAGGCCCCTGATGCCCCCAGGCTGGGCCTGTGGCTAAGGGCCTCGGAGAGGGTGGAGGGAGAGGGGTCAGGATACTCTCCCAATGTGCAGGATTCTCGCCTCATGTCCTAGCCCTGAAGTTAGATTCAGAAACCCTGCCCCTGCCCCTGCCTGCTGCTGTGTTTGCCAGACTGTCCTGGGCTCCACCCAGGTGTAATGGAGCTGGGGCAGTGAGTCTAACAGCACGTGCCCTGTTGTCTTTCAGGGCTGTCTCAGGGCTCCCTCCCAGGTGCAGCCCCCGGTACTTCCTCCTCTGCCCTCCAACCCCCATTGCCAGTATTGATAGCAGTGGATAAACACTTGGCCTTAGTGTGTGACTTATCTGCACATCTTACTATTGGAGCTGAATTTTAAGCTCCATAAGGGGAAGGAGAAGGTTTTAGGCTGTATCTCTCCCTAACCCACACCAGACCTTGCTCAGATCCACGCAGACACAGCTGTCTCGCCTCCCCCTTCTCCCCTTGTGTTTTCACCCCAAATTATTATCACCGGATCAGGCTCGATCTGGTTTTTGAGTCAGCCATGTGTTGCCCATCACACCGTACCCTCCTGCTTCTCACTCACTTGTCCTCCGCTGTCCCTCCTGGCACAGCCAGGTTCCCAGGGAAGATCAGGGGTGCTGATGCTGAGGCATGGGCCTGAGCTGGCCTTGCCTACTGAATGAGAAGGCTCCTGGGTGGCTCAGAAGGGGTTCCAGCCAAGCCTCTGGAGACATGCCAGACTTCTGCCCTCTGTGTCATAGGGCAATGCCACCTGAGCAGGTATCTCTGTCTCCCTCTGTAGGCCGTGTTGTCAATATCAGCAGCATGATGGGCCGTATGGGCAGCCCGGCCCGTTCCCCATACTGCATCACCAAGTTCGGGGTGGAGGCTTTCTCGGACTGCCTGCGCTATGAGATGTACCCCCTGGGCGTGAAGGTCAGTGTGGTGGAGCCTGGCAACTTCATCGCTGCCACCAGCCTTTACAGCCCCGAGAGCATTCAGGCCATCGCCAGGAAGATGTGGGATGAGCTGCCTGAGGTCGTACGCAAGGACTACGGCAAGAAGTACTTTGATGAAAAGATTGCCAGGATGGAGACCTACTGCAGCAGTGGCTCCACAGACACGTCCCCTGTCATCGAGGCCGTCACACATGCCCTGACCGCCACCACCCCCTACACCCGCTACCACCCCATGGACTACTACTGGTGGCTGCGAATGCAGATCATGACCCACTTGCCTGGAGCCATCTCCGACATGATCTACATCCGCTGAAGAATCTCACTGTGGCCTCCATTGGGGATCCCTGGCGGAAGGGGAGGGGAGGGAGGAACCCATATAGTCAACTGTTGATTATCCACATGTGGATTATCCGCCATCCCAGGAAGACCCATAACTGGTTTTAGCATTACCCAGAGGGAATAACCCAGCCTGACTCGTTTGCATAGTGAGTGACTTATGCCTTCAGAAATGGGGTGTGGGGTGGCAGGCAGGGGCCTCTGAATCTCAGGGCAAACATGGTGCATCTGTCTCTCTGGAGATGATTTTCATACAGAGATTCTGGGAAAACATCTTTATATTAAAAATAGATTTATTATGGAATAGAATCAAAATTCCTTTACATCTTTAAGCCACATTGTCAGTTTTAAAAAGTTATCTCATTTGATCCTCAAGCCAGTCTCCTGAATAAAAAGGACAGGTTTTTTTCTTTTGTACGTGAAGAATTTGCAGCTTAGAGAGGATGAATGAAATAGCCTTTTTATTGCTTATCAACAGTGCAGTCATGTGTTCCTGCCACTGCTGCGGAAACACTTCACATTTTGCATTGCAGGGCTGCTTTGTATTCATCTACCCAAGAATCTTCTGACTTACTCTGTGTCTTCATCTGAGCCACACATACCAAGTGCCCACTGGTGCCTCTGCATGTCCGTGGTGCTGTGTGACTGGCCAGCCAGCAGCCAGTGATTCAGAGCTGGCTGTATGGAGGGGGTGGGAATCCTTCTGGAGATTATTATTTTTTTTTTTTTGAGACAGAGTCTTGCTCAGTCCCCCAGGCTGGAGTGAGGTGGCGCCATCTCAGCTCACTGCAAACTCCGCCTCCTGGGTTCAGGTGATTCTCCTGCCTCAGCCTCCCAAGTAGCTGGGACTATGGGCATGCATCACCACGCCCAGCTAATTTTTGTATTTTTAGTAGAGACGGGGTTTCACCATGTTGGCCATGCTGGTCTCAAACTCCTGACCTCAAGTAATCTACCTGCCTCAGCCTTCCAAAGTGCTGGAGTGGGCTGCTGTGCCCAGCCCTGGAGAGTTTTACTTGAGATTTTTCCATCCTCTTTTAGGACTCAGAGTAGACTTGTGTGGAGGTGCTCTCTGGTTAAGAAGACAGATTGTTACTGGTTTGAGTCTGCTTGGTTTTGCCTTGGGTGGGCCAGTGTCAGTGGGGCAGTGCCATGATGGGGCACTGTGGCATCTTCTCTCCTTGCAGTGGATTTGGGGTCCCTGGTTGCCTCATATGGTGCTTACACATGCACACACACACAGACACACACACACACACACACGTTTTGCAAGGCTTCAGCGTAGCCTTCATTCCCACCTTGACTTTATTTTCAATTAAGAAGTGGTGCCACTTTAGTCAGAGTCTGCATGATCACTTCTCGGATTTGAGTTTGAAAGCTGTCATCCCTGCAACTGCCCAGGGCTTGTATGTCTGGACCAAAACCAAACACCAGTCTTCCAGGTGGCTTTAGCCCTAGGGCAGGGTCCCAAGTGCCAGCCTTACAAATCAGACTATGAGTAACGTTTCCGTCTCTCCGCGGCCGGGCTGGGCCTGCCGCTAGAGGGCGCTCGCCTCCTCCGCAGCCGGCGCCGGCATCCATTGCCCCAGACTCCGAGCTGCCACCGGAGCCCAAGGTTTCTCTCGGCGTTCGACTTTCTCACCTCGGAAACTGGGAACAAAGAAGCAAGAAACGCTCCTTTAGAAACAGTGTTCCCGCTCTTCTAGCAGCTGCGTGGCCCGAACCTGGAGTCTGGTGCCAGGAGAAGGCAGAACCCGGGCAGCTGGAGTAGGCTATGGGGTTCAGGCAGTGCCAAGGAAAAAGTCTCACAATGAGTAAATTCAGCTTGCCTATTGGGCCTCTGTTCCCGCTGTCTTCAAACAGGGATGCCCTGTCCCAGCTCCCCTAGGAGGAGGGAGGGGAGGCAGGCAGGGCTGAAACCCTCCAGAGCACAGAGAGGGACACTTGATGGCCGTTGCACTCACATAACAATAGGATGCTTTCGTGCCCTGGACTTTGTTCTAGCAGGTTCCTTTGGAATTGCATTTTTACGCGTTGGGCGAATTTGTTTTCATGCTGAAGTTTATTAAAGAAAAATAGATGGAGACTTGGAGTTGCACTTGTGAGTCCTTGCCTGGGAACTAGAGGAAGTGGGGCCACATACTCTGGGTCTCGATCAACAGAACCAAACCTCAGAGAAGCTGCATATTCATCTATTGGAATCTCCTGAGTAAGTCAGAGCTGCTGGGCTGGCCTATAGTTTGTCCTGGTTTTAATAATTTCCAGTGATTGAGAAGCCCAGGGTACTCTCCCTCCAAATAACCACAGTGCTAACTTAAACCTTATTATTTACCATTTGCTTTCTGGAAGCTTAGAGGTGGGTGTAGGACCTACTTTTCATCTTTACCAGAGTGGGTGGTGTGGTGCATTGGCTCACACCTGTCATCCCAACACTTTGGGAGGCCGAGGTGGGTGGATCACCAGAGGTCAGGAGTTCAAGACCAGCCTGGCCAACATGGTGAAACCCCATCTGTACTAAAAATACAAAAATTAGCCAGGCATGGTGGTGGGCACCTGTAATCTCAGCTACTTGGGAGGCTAAGGCAGGGAGAATCAATTAAACCTGGAGGGGGAGGTTGCAGTGATCCAAGATCATGCCACTGCACTCCCTGGACAACAGAGTGAGACTCCACCTCAAAAAAAAAAGAGGTTAAGGTGGACAAAACAGAGGTGTTTATTTCCATTTTATAGATGACATAACTGAGGCCCAAAGAGGGGAAGTGACTCACTCAGTGTCAGTGTCACAGTAAATCCAGGGCAGAACCAGGGCCAGAACAAGTCTCCTGAGGGGCACTCTTCACTGTCACATTACACTGTGGCTCACAACAGCTATGGAAGTGAAGCCAGTTGGGGTCACCAGGCACCTACACCCTCACTGCTTGTCTGCTGGCAGAGAGCCATCTCTTTTCAGAATAAGGGGTAGGGAGGAGGCCTTTGTGTGGACCCACGGTCTGGTGACTCAGCCAGTACAACCCCCTCCCTTGATGGTTGGAGGTTGGGCAAAGGTTTTTTGCAAGATGCGCCTGACAGTGCCTTGTTACAGAGCACCTGCTGCGCTTAGCATTCCACCCGGGGCCAAGAGGCTGTGTGAACAGGTGACAGCCAGCCTAGCCCCACCTGTCACAAGCTGCTAGGGCTGCACTCCTGCCACCCCTGGCAGGGAGTCTGACAAAGACTCCCCACTTGTGAGGTCTGTTCACTACCTGTATTTCGGACAGGACCCAGCTCTGCAAACCTGTGCAAACAACTTGTGATGCAGGAGCTGACATGAGCAGGTAGAGGCTCCCCTGGCTGGGTTGGCCAGACAGCAACCAGGCACAAGTGCCCAGTGCAGGACCCGCTCCCCAGTCACTGCTGCCCCCTCTCACCTGATTCTCACAGCAACCCTTGGCAGGTAGGCAGGGTGGGGTTATCTTATTTACCAACAAGGAAACAGGCTTTTCCAAGTCTGTCACTAAGTGAGGGGTAGAGCTGGGTGTCAAGCCAGATCTAACCTCCAGCCCAGAGCTGGTGATGCAGGAAAATGAGGGCAGATGGCACCAGGATCTGAAATAGGAGGGAAAAAGACCTCAGTTATGTAATAGCGAGTAGACTCTCAGTCTCTGTACAGCAGCAACCATCGGGTCCTGCCACTCGAGCTAGCCCCTCCTTCCCTTCCCGTTTTGGGTTCTGAGCGCGGTCCACTGCAAGAGAAGGTGCTGGAGGAGCCCCCAGCATGTTTCCAGTAGGAAGTCTGCTTTGTCTGGGCCATTCCCGAGACCGGGCTCTAGAAATGCAAAGACCAAGCAGGCAGTGCCGAATTCTGGAGCTGCCCTCAAAGGGTTTGAGGTTTATATGAGTGAGCACAGCACTTGAGACGTCAGTGATGATTTCTACTCAAAAAGACAGAGCAAGAGGGCTGAGGTGTTCTGGGAAAGATGAAACAACCCCACAGCATATGAGGCCTCTCTAGTGTGTGCAGGCACTAAAGAAGGGTGGCTTGTGAGTGACACATTCAGAGAACAGCTGCCCCCACAGGGTGGGCAGCTGTTGGGTGAGGGGCCAGGGCTGAAACAGGCTGCCAGGACCCCCACAACCTCAGGGGAGGAAAGGGCACTCACCCATCATTGTGCCTGGATGAGGAGCCTGCTAGCCAGGGCTTGAACCCCTCCAGTGACAGGGAGTGTGTTACTTCCTAAGAGGACATCTCCTTGGTTCAAAAACATTTATCCAAAGACTGAGCTGAAATCTACCACTCCACTTAACTTCTTTGGCACCTGGTTATGACCCAGACCTGCACAGAATAACCCTTCTGAAAGAGACTTCCAGATGTTTAGAAATGGTGGAGTCAGGTTTAAGAGCCCAGGTCCCCCCATTTGACAAGATTTCCATCTCCTCACTGTCTGAACAGAAGGTTTCAGCTGTGGCTATCCAGTCCGTCACTCTTGATGACACACAGCAGGCTGAATGGCCATTCGAATTTCCCTCAAGCAGCCAAGCACTTTGAGACAAATTTACTACCTTTGGTGAGATGCTGATATTCCTCACTCCCTACTAACCAAGTGAGTTCCTGGCAGATCTCTCATCTGATCCTCATAAACAGCGTGTATATTGGGCAGTATCATTGTCTACATTTTACAAATGAGGAAACTGAGCCTCAGGGAGGTGAAGTGATTTGCCCAATGTCACAGAGCCAGAAAACGAGAGAGCCACGATACAGATGCAGGCCATCTGGCTCCTTTTTCTATTTTTTTGAGGTGGAGTCTCACTCTGTCACCCAGGCTGGAGTGCAGTGGTGCGATCTCAGCTCACCACAATCTCTGCTTCCCGGGTTCAAACGATTCTTTTCCGTCAGCCTCCCGAGTAGCTGGGATTACAGGTGTGCTCCACCATGCCTGGCTAATTTTTTTTTATTTTTTTATTTTTAATAGAAAATCACCTTGTTGGCCAGGCTGGTCTTGAACCCCTGACCTCAGGTGATCCACCTGCCTCAACCTCCCAGTGTTGGGATTACAGGTGTGAGCCCCAGCGCCCAGCCCTATCTGGCTTCTGTACCCAAATCCCCTTCCTTTACCCTCAGGCTGCCTCAGTGTCCCAATCAGGGGCCAGAGCTGGGCTGGACTCAGTGCAGTCAGAACCTGACCTTGCATGTGGTGAAGGGGCGGCGGGCAGGTGAGGGAGCAGTACAGCCAGCTTTCTCCAAGTCCACGGTTTTGCAGAGCAGCCTGGAAAGGGAAGCACAGGCTTCCCCACCTCATTGCACGTGTGTCTGCAGTGTCTGTGCCATCTCCCAGGGGCCTGGGTGGTGATGGAGGGCCTGAGGGTGGAGAGAGCAGGGGCACGAAGCATTCCCAGGGCTGTAGCCGAGGCCATCCTGGACTCTGCATCTGTGAAGATGTGTAGAGACGGGGAGTGAACGGGGACTGACCTCAGGAGATGCTCGGTCCCAGAAACACCATGTGCTGCTGTGCTGCTCCCTCGGTGAGACTTAATTACTCTATAAAATGTAAGGCTACTCCCACTTATCAAATTATAGATGAGTTTCATTACAGCACACTAACCACTCTGGGCTCCTTCAGAAATAGCAGCAGGCTGGCTGCTCTTCTCACCTTCAGCTGTAGCCACTCCAGTTTCAGGAGGAACTGCCCATGGTTCCTGGGGCCTCGGAATGCCGCTCCCTTCTCTCCCAGACAACAAGGGTCTCCGTATTGGGCATGCAGCTGTACCTGCCACCACCCTGCCAGCCACTCTCAGCCAGTGAGTGCTCTGTGGGGCCATCCAGCCAGGTGTTCTGTGACTGGATCGTTGACTCTGCTGCAGCCTCTCTCTCTCCACCCACACTGTGTTCTGGACAAAGGTTTTGGCTCATGATGTCTGACCAGTGGTGGAAAAAGTGGTGTGGGACTTGCTGTAAGAAGCAGAGAGGGGTCATGGTGCGGGGTGAGAGATCTATGCTTTATGGAGACTCGGGGCATCTTCAGGAAGCAGCCTCAAGAGCAGCAGGCCACGAGGGAGTGGGGACAGCTTGGTGACATCACGAGGAGCATCAGACTCTTCCATGCAGGCTGGCGGGACTGACAGGCTCTCTAGTGGAGGTGGTGCAATGGGACTTCAGGAGCTGCTGATGGTCCCAGTGCCATATCAGTGTCATACGCTGAGGTGCAGCCTATGCTGGCACAGCTGCTGCCTCTCCCTCAGCCCTTTATTACTTGCATCTCTTCTTTGTGCCAGGTCCTGTCCCACAGCGGGCAGCCCACTGCCCTCCCATAGCTCACAGTCTAGCCCAGGGTAACCCAGGGTAACAGTGGCCAGGATATGGTTCAGGAAGTGAGAGGCTTGATTCTATCACATGTAAATAAAAATAGACATTTTCAATCTACACTCAGCCCGTCTTCTTCCCCGCACAACCTTGGAACCCCCTTGGATGCTAATGTGAGAGGTGTGAGCGGGCGGTGGGCGCTCCTTACTTAGGGAGCCCCATGACTTTGTCAAAGGAACAATGAAATATGAGGGCCCCTGGAGACCCAGATGCCAACAACGTGAGGTTGCCAAGCAAATGGGGCTGGAACCGCCTGGAGAATAACCAGGCAGGGGGCTCTGGACACGCGGGACTGGGACTGCACACGTGATGTTGAGGCTGAGGGCAGAACCAGACCAGAGGTTCAGGCTGCACCCAGATGTGGAAGGGTGCACACCACGTGGGCACATGACAGATTGGAGTTTTCGACCTTAGGGGTTTATTTTCTGTGCGGTTAAGCGTACAACAAAAGAAAACAGCAGAACATTAAAAAGGGATAGGCTCTTGGTTTTCTGCAGCAGAGAAAGAAGGGGCACATCTGGAGGGTCCATGCTTCTCCCCTCACCCCCGGACACCCTCCAATTCCCTCCCCTTCGGGACCCCCTCGGGCCTTGCAGCTGGCAAACCGCTCCCCACTGCTGTGTGTTTAGTGACAATGGGGCCTCGGTCACTGAGGGTTAGTGGCAGAGCTGTGTGTCTGGCTTTAGTCCCTGCTGGTCCCCTCCTCACCTGTGCGGATTGTACCTAGGTGGTCCCTGGGAAAGAGAGCC